GTGCCCACACAGATACATAGGGGCACACACATACATACATACTAAATAAATGTAATAATTAAAAAAAATGTTTAAAGGAGTATCTTAAAGCAGGGCTCCCCAACCCTCTCTAGCCCTAGCTGTTTGATTTTAGAGCCTCTTGCTTCTGGGATACTGATGGACTCTGTTTTCCTTTGAAGCTTAAACTTAGAACCAACAATTCTTTTTTTTCTGTAATGAATTCTCAATTAGCTGTGTAGACTCCATTATCAGGAAATGCAAGAGTAAACAGATTCCATACATAATTTAAAGATCTCAAGTAATTCCAACCTCCTGGACGTTCTTCTGTAATTCTCTTTTGTTTCCGACATGATGCTCAATAAATAATCTGTTGATTATTTAAAATTAGTTTCTCTTATTTAAAAAAATTTCAAGGGGCTGGAGAGATGGCTCAGTGGTTAAGAACACTGGTTGTTCTTGCAGAAGACTTGGGTTCAAATCCCAGCACCCACATGGCAGCTAACTGTCTGTAACTCCAGTTCCAGGGGATCTGACAGTCTCTTCTGTTCTCTACAGGCATTGCACAACACAGGTGCATTTACCTACATGCAGGCAATACATGCATACACATAAAAATAATAAAATATATTTAAGATTTCAAAACAGTTTTGTTTATAGTTTTTCAGATAGATTAAGTTGTTCATCAAGATCCATGCTAGGGAAAATGACTCAGAGGACTCAGTGGTGAGTGGAGCACCCATTCATGAAAGACTGGGAGTGCTCTCAGCAGTAGCAAAGGACCACAGGAGGTAGCTAGCAGCCCCATGTCACAGAAGGAAATACTGAGGCCTGCATAGGAGTTCCTTTTTCCAGTTAGCAGCTGCGGCACTGCAGAATCTGAATCTGAACTCAGGTTGTCTGACTTTATAGCTGGTTCTCTCCACTCTTCATCAGAAATGACCAGAATTTCCCAGAAGAATCCTAAGAGCAAAAGGAAAGGCAGAATGTCTCAAAGCCAACGTCCAGGCAGCGAGGCTATTGATTAGCCAATAAAAGTGGATAGAAGCCCAGGGTTCTGCTGAACTGACTGGTTTTTGAGAGAGTCAGCAGTTACCCAGGTAATCACCACTCAGTGCCAACTTCTCATGACTTCATCCTGGTAGCATCAGACTTCACAGTCAGCCTGCCAGCCGTGTTCTTGTCCAAGAAGGATGATGCCAAGTTAGTTCCCTCATAGTCCCAACCTTAAATAATCCCAAATCGTCTCCCCATGCATGGGCCCAAGTCCCAGGCCACTTCATGCCTTGGAATCCCAGCTCTGTATTTCCTACACTAGGGACTCCAAGCTGTGTGGGTGAGCTTCTAGAACGCTCTGGACTGAAGTGGATTTCATTTCCTGCCTGTCTTTTCTCTGGGTCTTCTGGCTTTGACCATTCTGTGGTGTAGGCAGATCAGGAGCATTGTGGAGTGTTCGGGAAAGCTGGCCTGTGTTCAAACATGAGAAGGAGGTGGTACCTGCACAGGCCCTAGCTCACTGGAGGACAGTGTGCAGAGGGAACATGCATCCAAAGACAAACTTCCAGTTCATTCCAAACCTTTTCACTCAGTTGGATTTTACATTTCATCTGGACATCTGCTGAGTTGGCTAAGGAGCTGTAGAATTAGTGTGCACACCCTGTCCCCTGCCCTTTCCCAAGATGAGGACACTGAGAAACTCATCCATGCATGCATGTGGGCCAGGCTTGCGCATGCTGGGTGACTCTGTCTTCATTGTAACAAGTGTGTCTCTATCTGCCATTCTGAAGAAAAATGGTTAGGATGCAAACATTACCAATGACCTGGCTGGGATCCTTTGACTCTGCTCAGATAGAAACTATGGGTAGGCAAGAAATCTTCAAGTGTTGGTCTTTGACAGCGTTTGCCTAAATGTTTGGCATCTAAGGGTGGTGGCAATAGGCAGGTGGGAGCAGCAGCAGGTAGTGTCTTCTAGTGTCCAAGTACTGGTGCAGGCCTTGTGTATTTGACTCTTAGTCCTGCAAGTGTTAAAACTTCCGTGTGGGCCCAGGAAGTGGGGGTTCTCAATCCTTGGGTGTAGCTGGCACTGAAGCTTCTAGGCAGGCCTTAGTGATCAGGATTCCTCTTCACCTGAAATTTGAGATTATTGGCTCTAAAAACTTGACAGCTGTCTGGGCCTGCTGGTATCCAGGGCCCGCAGTTTCTTCTCTGATTCCTTTTATCCTTTGTAATCTCAGCTTTTTCTTCTCATCGCTCATGTCCTTCCTGCCTGTTCATGAACTGTTCAGTTGCTGCTTCTTGGGCTGTCAGTCAGCCGGCCACCTCGCCCTCTCGCAGTTCAGCCCACTGCTGTTGCTTCCACTGCCAGTCTGTGGTCTGTCTTTGTGTTTGCAGCTCAGCCTGTACCACTAAGAGTAGACACAAAGGATCACTAAAGAGAACCTTTTGGCCCAGTGTTGCTGCACCAGTGGCGGTAGCACAGGGGTGTCTCGAGCCAACTCGCCAGAGAAGGGGTGCTTGAGGGGCCGTCACCGCACTTGTTTTGGACCAATGGCAGCCTTAACACCAATCATCACAGTGGCCCTTCATCTAGGTCGCCAGGGGCGATGCTCCCTCTGGCTCAGTTGGAAATGGTTGTTGGGTCACAGAGGAGGCTATGATAGCAAAATACCGGTACATACTTTTTCAAACAACCCTGGGTGAGGCAACTTCCAGACTGGAGCAATTGCTCTGATTTTTGTTCAAGAGAGCTGGTGCTGGAATGGGGGTGGTTCAGCTGGATGTTCTCCTCACAGGCCATTTACTCAAGGCAGCTAGAGTAGCAAGGGAGAGTCCAGTAGTAGCCAATTAGGGAGTCAAGGTGCCCCGCCCCACACGGTCTTTGCTTCTATACGAAATGGACATCAGGAGTGCTTCAGGAAGAACTTAAAGAACTTACCATTAACACTAGTAGTGATTTTTAACAGACTTGAGCAATGCTCAGGTCCCCTTCATCTGTCTTGGCCACAGCAAGGAGTCCGGAGTACAGGAGTGGTGTAAGTCAATGGGGGAGACGTAGTGAGCCATTCTCACTGCCCTCGTCCCTTGTCCTTTCCTCTGCTTCTTGATATTCAAAAAGCAGCAAAGGAGGTGGGGGCTGACAAAGCCACCACTCACTCGGGTGGCTTTGCGCCAGCCGGCAAACAGCGCTCCTTCCAGGTGGATGCAGCTCTCTGTGGGCACCATGGGGAGCCAGGAGCAGAGTCTGGCTTCCAGCTCCTACTTCTTCCTGTGCCCACTTGAGTATGTGCCGTTGTCCCTAGACCCCCTACCTTCAGCAACCCAAGGCTTAACTGACCAAGAGGAAATGGGATATTCTCCAGAGGCTTTAAGAAAATCACCCGGATGCTGTTGCTGGTGGAGGCTAGGGGTCTCTCACTAGGAGGTTCTAAGCTCCAATGCTATTGGCTAACGGAGGTATCCTGCCCATCACCCTGGTGAGGGCTCTGCTTTACTTCCTGGAGGTGGATGCGGAGCTGGAAGAAAGCGCCATAAAAGTTGTGGCACATGCCTTTAATCCCAGCACTTGGGAGGCAGAGGTAGGCGGATCTCTGTGAGTTCGAGACCAGCCTGGTCTCCATGGTCAATCCAGGATAGCTGGGACTACAGGGAGACCCTGTCTCAAAAAGACCAAAAAAAAAAAAAAAAAAAAAAAAAAAAGTAATGTGCTGATTAGTACAAGGGTCCCGGAGAGCCTCCAGGAACAGGCCTACCTTTGATAGTGTCATCATATTTATCTCAGGACCCCAGGGCATTAGGAATTCTCTGCAACTACCTCAGAGGATCCTAAGACACCATACTTCCTTAATTCCTGGAAGAGACAGGGAAGAGAGGCTTTGGACCTCTCGTGAAAGTTGTGCCATTCACTTGAGAGATGCCACCAATTCACCTGACAGCTCAGGCACCAAGGCTGGTGGATGTCATTTATCAAGTAGATTACAGTGCTGCAGTTCACCAGCTACTGAGTTGGAGTCTGCTGCAGAAATTTAATGTGTGGCAGCTGCGTGAGTGGTGTCCAGCATTTTAAAAAGGTCAATTAAGAACTGGTTGATGATGGTGTAGCTAATGACAACCCAGAGGGGAGGGCAAGGCCCGTAAACAGCAGGGCTGGGACCTATATTACTGCAATTGAAGTGTCTAAGCATGGTGGGGAGGAAACCTATTGTCATAAGCCATAAAGCACATCTGAGCTTTGCAGCAGAGAGGGTACAGCTGTTTCTCTCTGCTGGCAGCACAGAGAGCAGCCTGTGAAAGGAGGGCTCAGCCCACAAAGGGGACAGCTGCAGCAGCTCTGCCAGTCTGCAGACAGACACGTCCCCTTCCTCGCCTGCCTCTGCACTCAAGCCTTCCCAGTTGGGGAGCAGAAGGCAGATGCTGGAGTGATACTCACAATGTGGGTCATGTTCCAGAAATCCATATTTTAAGTTGGGCCAGCCCTCTCCTCACCCCATGCATGTGTGGGTGGGCAGACAGGTGGGAGCCAGGCAGCCACCCCAGCCAGTGTTTACATCAAACACATCCTTTCCTGTCTTCCGTGGGTTCACAGTGTAGGCTAGGGGTCAGACGTCTATGCCAGACTCATAAAAGGGAGACAAGCCTGTGACAGAATTGGCTCGTGGCTGGGGAAAGGCACTCTATGGAGCTCCTTTTTCTTGGAAATCTGACAGGAGGGGTCTAGGACTGAGTGCTCCACTGCTAGGACAGGCTTTATGTCACCTCTACCTGTCGAGCAAGAAATTCATTAGAGCAATGGGAATGCTAGTTGATATGCAAAGCAGGCCTAGGGTGCCTAGAAATGTCTAATGACCCTCCAGTACACTACGAGTGTGGAACCAAGACAGGAGCTGATGCAGGCTAGGCGGGAGCGAGAACACCAACCTTCTTGTCTACTTTTTGGTTTTAATCTAGTCTGGGAAACCACATAGGCTTTAAGACCAAAAAGAGAAAGAATATTGCAATCCGTAGGGTTTGTCTTTCACACACTGGATATTTATTATTAGAAAATAGTTTCTGTCAGCTGTCAGTACCAAACAAGTTGAAGGGAGCGAGCCGTGCCGTTCACCGTCCTTTTTCTCCTTAATGATACTTAAGTAAACACTCACTGTGTGGAGAGTTGCCGCGCCTTTTTTTCCCTTTAAAAACTGAATAATTAAATGAGTTTAGTACAAAACATCCTTCAAATGTGACTTGTTCTGCAGTAATTATGCTGTCTCCTTGAGTAAGAGACATGAAAGAGATGAAAAAGACCACTCAAGCTATCAAATTACCCCAAGAATCCACAGTAGAAACTGGGAAATGAATAAACTGACCCAAGTAAAACCCATCCAAACCAAGAAACCAGTTTTTACATTGGCTTTTTGATTATCCTCTAAATTTAATATATATATATATATTTATATTTGAAATAGTAATAAAAAAGGAAGAATTGAATTGCATCCTTAGAAGGACAACCTTCCTCATATGTTAAAGAGGTGTTCAGAAAATTTCATACAGTATCTGCTAAATAAACATGTTTGGCAGCTTAGCAAAGATCATACGAGTGCAGCATCCATGATTTTTAAGTCAAACAGCATTTGCTTCCTTCTGGCAGAGTTTGTTTGCTCAGGCGATGTGGTAACATGGCTCCAGGTGTTCTTAGACCCTCAAGATCAAGGGAAGGGCTTGGGGGTGGCTCAGTGCATGCCCCCAGTGCAGAAACTTCCAAACCCCAAACAATGAGTCAACCAACCAACCACACAAACATCAAACAATTGTCTCCTTTGAGTTCCTCTTGACCGAGTGGAGGCCCAGCAAGGACTGCTGGTTAGAAGGTACATTGACAGACTTTGGAATGAGGAGAATCACCCTCTGATTGGTCCGACGCCATTCATTATACAATCGACAGTGGTACCTAAATGACACCTAGGAGTGGGAAAGGAAAAGTGAAAGATGAATAGGTGGGCAGAAGTTGACAATCAATTCAAGAAATAAACATGTCATTTAAAACAGCTTCCCAGGGCTGGCAGCACCAGAGTGGGAACAAGAACATTGTTGACAAAGTGTTCTAGCAAGCAACTGAGTGCTGGGGTGCTGGGAACTACTCAGGTGTCCCCCAGGTGTGAACACGGTGGGCCTTGCATGGCTGCTTCCTTTTCTCCTCCACATATTGGGTGAGATCAGAGTATAAGGAGATGAGGTACTTTCGAGTTGGGGTTTGTTTCTAGGTCAGTGATGCTCTGGGCCCCAAAGCTTTAGTTGTGAAGCAGTCTGGCTGGAGAAACGGCTCCATGCCTGTCCAGCTGAGCAGTGCACCTGTGTGCTCCTCATGTTGCTCATTTAAAACACAGAGCTTCTGGGTCTCCATGAACTCTTCTGCAGGTTAGACACTGCATACCACAGAGGACCCCATTCATACTTGGATGCAAAGAACACCCTTTTCCTGTGCTGTGGACAATCTGCACAGCTGTACTTGGTCCTGAGCATGGCATCCAGTCCTGTGTTCAACACCATACTTGCTTGTCTCTCCCCATGTACATGAAGTGTCTTGGGAGCAGAGCTTGTGTCTCAGTCATCTTTGCAGTCCCAGCACCTCTCACAATGTCAGATACTGTGGAGGTTGCTGAAGAGTTTGCTGAGTGAATGAATGAGTGAATGAAGATTCCATGGTTGTGCTCCAAGCTTAAGCCCCTCTTATGTAATACCTGATGGTACAGGCAGTGAGTCCTTCAGCAGTTAGGACCTAATTGTACCCTACAGTGCTTCTTTTTATGTAGACACATTGGAATGAGACACTTAAATCTGTTTTGGAGAAGCCTGGCAGAAATTGATGGCCTGCCCAGAAAATTCAGACTGTACCTTTGAAGACATACTTTAAAAAATGGGGTTGGGGGCCAGTGAGATGGGTCAAGTGGTAAAATCACTTGCTGACAAGCCAGATGACTGAAGCTCAATTCCTGGGACCCACATGGTACACAGGAGAGAAGAGACTCCTGTAAGTTGTGTGTGCACACGCACACACACACACACACACACACACACACACGAATGAATAAATGTGATGGAAAAATAAAATTGGGGGTTGTTTCCAGTTTGAGTGCATCCAGATTCCTCAGTATACACTGTGTAGGAAGGCACACATCAGCTCATAGTGAGGAGTCACCCTGGTCTGCCCTGTTTAATGGTCTTGGAGAGGGTGGGTTGGGTAGACCACTGTAAGAGTCCACAGCAGTAGGCTGACCTGATGGTTTTAACTCAGCATCTCTAGAAATAGAGGAGAATACAGATCTTGGTCCTCTATAGCAGCATCATGAAATTCAAGGCCATCTGTTCACATTTCTGAGGTGAGGAAGCAAATGCCATAGGCGGAGTGCCAGAGAGATTTATGTATGAAAATCATAAGCTTTTAAACTCTCACAGATGAACTTTCTCCAAAAGACCCTGACCAAGACAGCATGAGGTCCCTTTTTTCTTTTCCTTTCTTTACTTTTTTCTTTTTGTTTCATTTTCCTTTCCTCCCTTCATTCCTTTTTTTTTTTTTTAAAGTTTATTCTATCTTATTCTGCCTAGCTGCTGTTCGGTGTTTCCCACAAATAAATGTGAGGCAGGTGGGAAACCCTGCCCCTTCAAGAAAAAGGCAGAACACAGACAAATACTAAAGAACTTCTGCAATCTGAGAAGTCCAGAATCAAAATAGTGCAGAAAAGCTGGACTTTAACAGTCCCTCCTCCATGATGCTGTGGCACTGCACCTCGGGGTTAGCAACCCCAAGAAGTGGCTGTGGGTGCCAGCAGGCACAGGCTCAGGTCAGGCACACAGGGCTGGAATGTCCGTCCTCCACCTAGTGGCTGCCCGACTTTTGTGAGGCTGTCCGCAAGCTTTAGCCTTGTTTGTAAAATGTGAACAGTGATAGCTGAGAAACTGCTTACAAAGCAATTAGTACAGTCTCACACATAAGTTAGCATTCTTGATTTAAGATTTTCTATGGGTTAAAGATATGGAAAAGAAGAGTTTATGACAACTTTCTTAGATTCAGGAAAACTGACAGGAAATAGCTTGAGCTATTTTCTTTTTTTTTTTTTTGGTCTTTTTGAGACAGGGTCTCCCTGTAGCCCCAGCTGTCCTGGAACTCACTATGTAGACCAGGCTGGCCTTTGAGCTATTTCTTTTAATGGCCAGCTACAGGCTGTATCTTCTGAGAGCTGGTTAGAATATCAGTTCTGGTCTCCACCCAGACCTAAGGACTCACGGAGCACATCTTAACACGTCTCCAGGTGATCTGCCTCTACATTCGGTCCTGAGAAGTGTTGTTTCAAGAGACACCCAGAGTCGAGGACTTGGCAGGTTTCCTTGTTTCTTGGCCAAGAAATTAAAAAAAAATATCAGCTCACTTGTGTAGAGATACAAATGAGAGCATGCTCATCTAATTTAATTACTGCTAACTACCACACTCAACAGAGAACTTGAAGGTGATCAGGGCAAACACAGGAAGTTGGGCACAAGACAGAGGAAACAAGTCTGCAGTGGCCCCAGCCTAGTATGTGCCCGTCTTTAGATGCTTCAAGACACTCCCTGCCCAAAATGCAATATCAGGAAAGGAAAAAAGGTTTGATTTAGAGAAATAATGAGGCAGTGAGACAAAATGTGGGGAGGCTCATAGACTTTAAATCTGAGGTTTTAAGGAGAGGGTAGGAAAAAGGGTGCAGCACTATTATTTTTAAAGTACAATCATTAGGGATGAGTTTCCAAAGTTTATTCATTTATTCACATAAAGGACATTAAACTTACTGTCCTGGGTGGAGTCTGTTTATGTGAGTTATTACCACATGAATGGAAGGTAGAAAATGTCAGCACCCACATCTCCCTTTCAGGGAGGTGACAGGCTATGGCAGAGGTCTGCTGTGAAGTTATTTTAGCAGGCTTTGGGAAATCTATCATATCTTCTCTTGGGAAGTTTTGGGATGGGACCGGGGTTTCAGTGAGTCACGTTCCCTACAGTGGGCCCAGACCGCTTGTCTCTGCACCGTGTAAGGGGTCTGTTTAGAAGTGAAATGGCGGTGAAGAAATCTCACTGAACACTGAGGCTGTGTAGGCTGCTGGGGAGAGTTGCCATGTGTTGACTCATGCCTGCAATCCCAGCACTCTAGAGACTGAGGCAGAAGGATGGCAGTGAGTTCAGGAAGAGCCTAGGCTACATAGTGAGACACTGTCAAAAAATAAAACTACACAATAAAAGCAACAAGCAAATAAAAAGAAACTGCAATTGTGAACCAGCCCCACAGTGAGTGTAGGTTACTGTAGAACTAGATTCTTTTATAAGCAGAATTTAAATGATCAAACCAGGGGCCTAGGAGCTCACCGCCAGGGAAGTGGGTCCTTCATTTTCTTGGGTGCTGGGGCCTGGAACATCAGTGGTGCAGTGAGTGGAAAGATGCCCGGTACCACAGCACTGGACTCCAGCACCACATGAGGATGGAGACAGTTCATTGCTATGGCAGACTCAGTCCTTCACTGGCTCTGTCTGTTCATGCACTTAAAATTTTGTCTGACATAAAGTGTGATTTTGGGGGGGTACCTTTCCTTAGTCATGGATGGAGAATGTAGAGAACCTGACCTCCTGCGTCCAAGGTGGGCTTCTGGGACACAGGACTGGGGCAGAATTCTGAGTTTGCATCATGATAGGTCCCTTGCGGGCCACCAAAGGCACTTTGAGGTTCGAAGTGAGTGCTTGTCCCTTGTCACAGTACCACCAGCTGGAGCCAGCCGAGAGGCTCTTCCAGGAGTGCTCCAGAGGAGCCTGGCTTGGACTGACATGGTGTTTGTTTATCTGAGACATTTTCACAGCATATTCTCCTTAAGCTTGACAGCTTGTTTACAATGGGTTGCTGCCGGAGGGCACTTTGCAAGTGGCTGTCAGCTCCTGAATTACGGCTCTTGCCAGGGCTGCTCAGTACAGCATTTATCTGGGAAGGAATTATTCTATATTCAGTAACCTATTGCTGAGCTGACTCCACAGCACATTTTCTTCATACCAGTCAAAGTAGAGCGGCGCCTTCCTTCCCTCCCGCTACTCTGTATTTTCTAGAGGACGGCAAGAATAGGGGAGTTGGAGGGGCTGGGATGCCACAGGAAGGCGGCCCAGGGCCTGCCCTGGGCTGAGTGCTTAGATGCAAGTTCCCAGATGTCATCCTACTAATCTTCATGACCCAGGGTTAGCAATTGTTTCCTCCATTTAAAAAAGTGTATTATTATTATCACTATTATTATTATTATTATTTTGTCTAAGGAAGAGTAAAAGGTTAAGTATCCTCTTAAAGTTACTTAAGTATTAGGAGGCTGAATCTTGGACTCAAATGCAGGGCCTTTGGAGTGTAAAGACATGTGCTTTTTACTGTGCAGCACTGCCTCTCAGAAGCATTTCTGGAGTGCTGTATGCTATTCTAGAAAAGCCTAGTCTAGCTATGTTTTCCATCCAAGCTTTCTTTTCCATTTTTCTCTAAGTCACCTTCCTCTTTTCTTTTCCCCCTCCCCATGCTTATTAGATCGGCGTACGCTCTACAGAGGGATAATTCTAAGAAAACTCAGACTAAAAAAGGCTTAAATGTGTTATAAAAAACAATCAGTTCAACAACAACAACAACAACAACAACAAAAACCCCTCTTCTTGCCAGGTGTGATGGTGCATGCCTTTAATCCCAGCACTCGGGAGGCAGAGGCAGGCGGATCTCTGTGAGTTCAAGGCCAGCCTGGTCTACATAGTGAGTTCCAGGATAGCTGGGGCTACAGGGAGACCCTGTCTCAAAAAGACCAAAAACAAGCCTGGCTTAATTGTTAGTTTCCAGAGTACTTTCCTGTGTACTGTTCCACTGCAGCCGCAGGACACCAGGGAGGTGGGTCATGACCACTGCCACCACTTCATAGATCTAATGCCCATTTCAGTCTCGGAGGACTGAAATGATTCTCCAAGGTGGTGTGGCTAGCAGAGTGAGATGTAGTTAGACTATTTTCTGTGCGTGTGGTGTATGTGTGTGAGGCTACAGCAAGATGTAGAGTAGCACTGCAGCCTTACCACCTTGAGACAGGGTCTCTCACTATGAAGCTCGGGTTTTCAGTTAGGTTCACCAGCCAGCGAGCTCCCTGGAGCCGTCTGTCCCCCTTCTCCCAGTGCTGGTGTTACAGACACATGCAGCCATGCCTGGCTTTCTATATGGGGTGCTTGGGATTTGAACTCCTCTGGTCCTTGTACTTGCAAAGAAAGTGCTTTTGCACATTGAAATTACCCATTTCCCCAGCCCCTGCTTAATTTCTTATTCCTAACCCTCCTCTCATCACAATAGCAGCTCTGGATCAACTTCCTTGTTTGATTTACAGTGAACCAGGGCACACTTTACATGTGAGGACTATTAGAGGAGGCAATAATAGTTTTTGTTGGCAGCGGGGGGGTATCATTATCAGGGAGCAGAATGTCTGAATTAAGTGGAAGACTCAGCTGAGCTCTTAGCATGAGAACGTGCCCAGTTTACCATCATTCAAGTCATGTCCTTCTTCCTGAGCCTGAAACTCAGCCTCTTACTGTCTGAACATCCCACAGGAGAGGAAGACCAGAGCTGGAAGAGCCACAGCATGAGTAAGAGGGAAATAAGCAGAGGTCTGAGTGGCAGCGGAAGGAACAGGGAGGGAGGGGGAGCTGTGAGCTGTGACCAGCTCCACTGCTGACTCTGTGCTGTGGGATATGGAAGGGTACACTTTAGACAGGAAATACCTATTGAATAACAATCGAACGTGCTCAGATTACAACTAAGCAGACACAAGACAGCAGTGCCGGGACGGGGGGGCTTCTGGACAGATTCTAGTAGGCAGTGCCCCCTCTCCCCCAACTCCCACAGGGCAGCACAAAGAGGGAGTAAACAGTGTCCTTTGTGGGTGCCACCAGCTGGTGCCCAAGCAGTCAACTTACTGCCTGAAGTTAAAAGAATGAAAAAAAGAATGCTTAAAATTTCTCCCTCAGATACACCAGGGACATTTATTGGGAAACAACTTTTCTTTGGTGGCAGCAAAACTCTCAGCTAGATAAATTAGTGCTTTTATGGCCAGCAGAGTCAATATCCCAACACATGGAATCACCATCAGCAAAGTCCAGCCCCACATCCAACAAAGACTTTAGGCCTCGTCAGAACACAGGAAAGAAATAACCAGCAAGGAGGATTCATGATCTGTGTAGATGGCCGCAGCGGCAACTGCATCATTCATAGTATACCATGGTCCCAGAAACATGAAGGAGAGAGAAAGCACCATGCCTTAATCTGAAGCATCCAAGGTGTCTGACTAGTGAGGGTCCCAAACTCAGGCTTTTTATCTGATCTGTACACACACACACACACACACACACACACACACACACACACACATACACACACACACACACACACACACACACACACACACACACTCATATTCTCTCCCCTACTCCACCATGCACCAAACCACACACCTGTGCCATGCCAGCACGTGAAGGTCTGCTTTCTACCTGGCAGGTGAGAGGGAGGCTTGTGCCTGCAGTGACACTGCAGCTCCAGCAGCCTAAACCCCAGCCACCGGCCATACTTACTAGTGTCCAAAAGAGGTAAATTGTGAAGAGTGCGACAGTGAGTGCAATCAGTCCGACGGCTTCGAGCCGACTACTAAAGTGCAGGTGGTCCACGGCGCCCCGCAGGCACAGCCAGCCTGAGATGGTGGCCAGGGGCGTTATAAACAAGAAGCACACCATGTCTCCAAACAGAGTCCGCTTCTCATGCTGGGGGCCAGGGTTTCTGAGCCACTGTCAGAAAAAGAAACAGAAAAGTAAGGGACGAGGTTAAGTTAGCCAGTGTGGGGTGGGGGTACTGCTATCAAGTTGCCTTTGCTTCAAGATCTGGGCAGAGGTGCTTCGGACCTGTTCTAAGATGATAAGGAAGCATTAAGGGCTTATTTCCATACCTCAGTCCTCTGAATAGTAATGATAACAACCACAGTTTAAAATGTCCTTGCTGTAGGTGACCTGCTTTTTGTGAAACTATCTCAGTGACTACTGTTGTGAATTGCACTGATCCTTTGTGAAAAGCAGAAAAGATGTTACTCTGCTTTGGGTTATGAGTGTCCCCCAAAAGTTCATGCGTAAATGCTTTTTGGTTCTGGGTGCTGTGGAACTACAGAGGGCATCAGGCTCATGCCCTCAAAGGGGATCATGGGACATGGGTCTAATTTCTTTGCTTCCTGGTACTGAGACAACTTGCTTTAACACATTCTCTGACCGTGATATGCTGCCTTCATCAGATGACCAAACCAATACGGCTGCCAACCTTGGACTTGAACCTTCAGAACCATGAGCCTAAATAAAGCTTTTCTTGAAAAAGTTAATTGTTTCAGCTGTTTCCTCATAGTGATATAAAGCTGACCAATACAGAAGGTAACAGCTGAGGTCTGAGGAGCATGGTCATGTAGTCAAAGCTTTCCTGATTCTTCATTCAGAATGTGTGCAGAGAAGGTCAGCAGGCCCAGATTGCTGAAATCCTGCAAATTCCCAAGACAAGTTTTATTTTCAGGACTGGCTTTGGACTGGCTCTTAAGAAAATAAATCTTCAGCACTTGAGAGGCAGAGGCAGGAGGATCTCTGAGTTCAAGGCCAGCCTGCTCTACATAGTGAGTTCCAGGCCAGCTGGGGCTACAGGGAGACCCTGTCTCAAAAAGAAAAGAGAGAAGAGAAAAGAAAAGAGAAGAAGAGAAGAGAAGTCAAGTCTGAGTCCTATAACAGACTGCCTGATAAAAGCATTTTCTATGCCCAAGGCCACATGATCAGATAGTTTATGCCAATAATGTGATTTATACTTAATGTCTACTTTTTTTTTTTGTCTTTTTTTGAGTCAGGGTCTTCCTGTAGCCCCAGCTGGCCTGGAAGTCACTATGTAGACCATGCTGGCCTCAAACTCATAGAGATCCCCCTGCCTCTGCCTCCCAAGTGCTGGGAATAAAGGTGGGCACCACTGGGCATCTGGAGTCTGAGTGGCTGAGGTCAGTTACACAGGTATTATATACTTATTGATGCCAACAAAAATTCTCTATTCTCGGGTTCTTGATGGACAGCATTTTCCACATTTTAACACAAATTACTACTAAAAAAAATAAAGTATATCTTGGTGAGGATGGTGGCTGATGCCTATAATCTCTGTACTTGGGAAGAGGAGGTAGGAGGATCATGAGTTCAAGGTCAGCTTGGGCTACATGGTGAGACTGTTAAAAAAAATGTAAGGAGTTAGAGAGATGGCTCAGAGGTTAGGAGCACTGGCTGTTCTAGCAGAGGACCAGGGTTCGAGTCCCAGCACCCACATCAACCAGCTGTAACTCCAGTTCCAGGGGAATCCAATGCTCTCTTCTGATCATGGGCATTGCAGAACACTGGTGCACATACATACATATAGGCAATCAAAAATAAGCAAAATAAAAAAATAAAATATTAAAAAAAAATTAAGTACATCTGTGTGCCTTCACTGGGAAAGGATACCTGGAAGCCTCTCCTTGTCCTCTAATCCATTCTACACTGGATTACAATATGAGTCTGTGTTTACGTGTTGGTGTCAGCATATAGTAATAGGACCTGATGGCTTGTCTACAGATTAGCATGAAGACACAACCCAAGATAACTGACATTCCTATTTCACTGTCCTATGTAGTAATGGCGGAGGCCAATGAGCCCTGAGAAGTGAGGTAGGGTAGGACAGCTAATGGGGTAGGGTGGGGTGACATTGTTGGCTCTGTCTTCCTTCCAGTCCCCACCCAACGAACAAGCCCCTGCGCTGCCTGTCAGCATGAGCACAAACAGCAGTGCTGTTTGCTGTTGGCTGCTGAGGAGACACCCCAGGTGGCCAGGGCAGCAACTGCTACAAAACCCTGATGGAGGGTGACAAGAGATGGTGGAGATGGCTAGAGAAGGAAGGGAAGGGGAGGTCATGCTCAAGGATGTAAAGAAAAAACAGAATTGCTGCACAGAGGGCAGGCAAGCTGGAGTGTGCCTGGCAGAAGCCTCCAGAAATAAGCAAAGGGGGGCATCAGGAAAAGGCACAGAAGAAAGTCTGCGGGGAAGGCTCCTTCCTCAGATGTTTGCCTGGATACCCCGGCACAGTACCTCTAGGGATAACCCACTTTAAAACTGAGATGCTGAAAGAAGTCAATCAACTCCAAAGTGGACATGAATAAATATTAGGACACAGAGAAGGGGAGGGTTGACTTCTTTGTGCATATAAATCCAGCACTATGTGATTTAACAAATGATTTAGTGCAAACATATTAACCCTGCCATGTACTGTCACACCACCACATATGTTTCAGAAGCTTCAAGGAAATTCAAAGAGTTCTCATTAATTAACGTTTTCTTGCCTAAGTCCTGGTGATCTCGCTATGATGGGAGGAGTAGAAACAGGTCATTATTACCCCAGCTTTACAGAGACTAAACAAGGTTAAATGATTGCTCCAGGTGTTCTGAGGATCAGGCTCGCGATGCTTCATCAGATGTTATTAATGAAATATTTGAAAATTAAAATTCCAAGACATTTTTCAGTTTCTTAAAATAATGGTGCTCAAGTTGTAGCAACTCAATTTCTTTAGAGTTGAATTTTCCCTGGAGGCAAACAGGAAGTCAGTGTCGTCACCCCTGAGACTCCTTTTGCAGGAACAGTTGGCCCTGAGTAATATGCTACATGTGGACAGACATGCTAATTTCCTTGGCCGCAACTTCCTTTATTTGCTTTTACTTGAGAATTCTGGACATAGTTTATTAAAGCTAATTTTTAACTTGACTTACCTATGTGATTTTTGACATTAAGATATGGAAGGAGGTAATTCTGAACTGGTATTTACTTGATAAAGATATTGATTTTTATTTATTTATTTCCTCTATCTTTGTGTGTACATGTGCATATGTGTGCATGCTATGGTGTACATATGGAGGTCAAATGACAACGTCCTTCCACCTTGTCTGAGACGGGGTCTCTCATTCACTGCCTAGTCTACCAGGCTAGCTGGCCTCTGCACTCCTGGGGCCCCTTCCGCCTCTGCCTCCCATCTCACTGTAAGTGCTGGGATTACAGGTGTGTGCTTCTGTATCTGGCTTTATGTGGGTTTGGGGAAATCCAAACTCATGTCCTAACCAGGGCACGTGGCAAATGCTTTAACCACCGAACCATCTCTCCAGTCCTAGATTTATCTGATGAAACAAATGTATAGGGGTTAAGGGCCAGGTCCTGGGTTCATTCCTTAGTACCCCCCAATGAAAGATAAAATAAATGTGCAAAAGACAAACTAGAAATGACAAGTGCTTCTTCCCAGTGTCTTGTTTTCTAATTGTTTGCCAATCTTCTGTGTTTCTGAGGAATTTCCAGGCCACTTTCTATGTCTATGATTGTACTTTTTTTCTTTTTCTTTTTTAAAAAAATTATTTACTATTTTTATGTGTATGAGTATATTGCCTGCAATGTAAGTAAGTGTATCCACGTGTGCGTTGTGCCCATGGAGGCTGGAAGAGGGCATTGGATCCCCTGGAACTTGAGTTAGGGGTGGTTATTAGCTGCCATGTGGGTCCTGGGAACTGAACCTGGTTCCTCTGCAAGAGCAGCCAGTGCTCTTATACTATTTTTATGTGTATGAGTGTATTGCCTGCATGTGTGTAAGTGTACCCATGTCGTACAATGCCCATGGAGGACAGAAGAAGGTGTCAGATCCCCTGGAACTGGAGTTATGGATGGTTACAAGCTGCCATGTAGGTGCTGGGAATCGAACCCAGGTCCTCTGCTAGAGCAGTCAGTGTTCTTAACCACTGAGCCATCTCTCCAGCCCTATGATTGTACTTTTTAGCACTATTTTTGGGGAGTTCCAGCTTACTCTTTGCTGGTTATATTTAGATGTGGTGTTCTTAGTGCTGTTATGCAAAAATATGTGTCTTCTTCAAATCCCAAGTGCCACTTATCTCTCTAAGCAATAGCAGCAATGGTCTACTGTTGAGAAAAATATTGCCCTGAGCCAAGGTAAAGGCTACTGACAAAGCATCTTAATGCACAGACACTGGATTCAGGTTGAGTTCATAACACAGAAGATTTGATTAGCTTGAATTTCCAACAATATGGAATTATCTAAATTGATTATAGAATTTATGTAGAATATCACATTATAATATCAAGTGAAAATGTACATCTTTTGTTTATAGACATGTTGTATTGCTAAGTAGAAAAAATTATTCTGTACAGAATACATATTATGAACCATCATGAGCAATGACATACTTACAGACACACAGAAACTTATATTTACATAGAGTATTCTTACATGGACAAAGACTAAAGGGATACCAAACAAAATAATACCTATTCCTGGTAGAATTATGAGATTATGAGTGGGCTTTAAATTTTATGGAATGTACATTGTTTTTCTGAAATAAACATGGATTATGTGTGTGTATGTATGTTAAGTATGTATCCTGTGTATAAAACAGACACACATATTTGTTTGTTTTGTATTTTGAGACAGTATCCCTGTAGCCCTAGCTGGCCTGGAACTCACTAGTATAGACCAGGCTTGCCTCAGTCTTACAGAGCTCTGCCTGCCTCTGCATCCTGAGTGCTGGGATTAAAGGCATATGCTACCACATCTGGCCACACATAGGTATATTTGAAGAGAGAGAGAGGGAGAGAGAGAGAGAGAAGAGTAACAAACAGTGGAATAAGCATATGTTCAGCTAATGCATATCAAACCAAAGCAGTAAAAATACTATTACTGAGTTATGGCTGGGTCAGG